ACTCTATAAACGCCAAATACTAAATTTTAATTAATTAAAACTGCGCAAATTACGAAATTGTTACATAAAAATTGAATAAAAAAATACTAATAAAATCGGAAATTGAAATAAAAATAATAAACGATGTTACAAATGCGAAATTATAAAGTTAAAAGGGCGAAAATCGAAATTATCGCGAAGGTGTAAAAAGGAGGATTGCGATGGGAATGTTTTCAAAGAAATATATTAAGTGCAAGCATGGGATATTGAGCTGTTTTATGATTTCCAGCTCGATACATATAAAAAAATTTTAATTAAGCCAGCCCGGCATTTTGACCATTTGTCATACTGACACCTTGACAACCTGGCATCGTGACAGCCTGGGCCAATGATCGTCAAAGGGACTAACTATAATTATCAAAAACGGTTTTCAAGCGAAGTTATGAAGATTTCGGACCGGAATTACATTCAATCGTAACAGCAGCATTGTAAAAGAAAATTGAAAAAGCTAAAATATAATTATTTAAACTTCATCTTAGACAAGTTTCAAAACTTGAAAATTTATTTAATCTTGAATTATCCAATCAAATAATAATTCAATAATAAAAAAAAATTAATAAAACCAGAAGAAATTAACAACGAATTTACAGTGCGCGACGAAATTTCCCGGAATAAAATTCGATGTATAAAATCACGATTTTCTCCTGCAATATGTATTGCATTAGCCATTTTTAGATATTATGTAATGGGAAGGTTTTGGGTCTTTCAACAGGACAATGACCCTAAACACAAGGTCAAGGAAACTAAAAATCTTTTTTCTAAACGATGTCCGAGGTTGTTGGATTGGCCATCGAATAGTCCGGAATCCGATTGAGAATTTATGGTCAATTTTGTGGGAAAAGAGATCAACAATCTTGTAATTAATAAAAAATCAATTACTACAGATGTTTTTATTGATGTAATTAAAAAAAGAGTGGGAGGTAATCAAACCCGAAAATCTTCTTAATTTGGTTCGTAGCATGGCAAAACGATTGAAACAAATAATTGGGGAGGGGTGAGAATAAGCTAAGCTATTGATTTCGTTATATAATAAAATATATAATTTTAAATTTTCAAGTATTTTCGAGTATTTTTCGTAAGTACAATAAATAAAAACGTAATTACGAAAATTTTCGTCGCGCACTGTAAAAAAAATTTCTTTCAAGTGGTCTCAAATTGGGTATTTAATGAATGTAATCTGTTCTTGAAAATAGATACCGTAAAAAACAATACATATTCTATTTTTAACAATTTTTTTAGTTAGAAAAAAAAAAAACATTATGGATTTAAAATCATTTATTTTCTCATCAAACAAGTCATTTTTCTTATCGTAATACAAAAAATTATATAATGCCATTTATTAAACCTTTCATCTTTATCATCGAAAAGAAAAACAAATGATTATTAGTAGTGTTCCAGTTACGACATCGTGTTACACGAGGATTATTGGTTGAACTAGCCTATTATCGATTTTAATTCAAGATTCCAAATTGAGATCCTCATTTCAAAGATGTAGTGTCCATGTCACATACCGAAATTTGGTTTTATTCAACACTCTAAAATGAGATTATTTCAAAGAGATTTATTGATACAGTAATTATGATTTTTGATGTTGTGTCCAAATTGCATAATTTATCATATTTTGAAATTTTTAGACTCGCTTACCACCAAGTAGATTTCCGAAATTCGGCTATTATGTAATATTCCAATAACAGATTTTTTATTTATGGAAAACAACATATGAAATTGGGTAATTTTTCTAAACCAAATATTAAATTGTATATATTTACTGCGATATTATAGCCTATAACTTTGAAACACAATAAAAACAATCTTAGGAAGAACAAAGTTGTTTATTGCATATCTTTCATTCTATCTCCAAAAATATCAAACAAGTTATTGTGACAAAAAGTAAAATTCCTGCAAACGAATCTTTTAATTTGCACAAATTAAAAAAAAAACATGGTTCAAAATGTTATTTAAACAGCGTTATTTTTTCATCAAAATACAATCGTAAAAACACTTCAAAAAGTTTTTTTCTCATCAAGATTGAATCGTAAACATTTATAAAATTCACAAAAATAAAAAATTTTAACAATAATGGCAAAATTGCAGTTAACAATTTTTGTTATTTGTTTAATCTTTGTCACCGTTACGACAGCAATATCCATTAAAGCTGAAACAGTAAACCTTGAAAAACGAACCGTCACGTGTCCTTACAATTCTAAAAGAAATATTTTGAGTAAAAGAAACGAAGATAAAGTGTGCAAGTGTACAATCGCCGAATCGACTTTCAGTTCTTCATTTAGTGGTTTCTCCTTCTACTCTCAAGACGAGTGTGGTAGGACTACCATCGCAGGAATGTTTAGCCGTGGGTTTGAGATTTTCAATTCTACCGACGATATTAGATTTGAAATAGTTGATAGTTGCAATCGCACACTCCATGATCTCACGGATGGATTGAATGTTCAATTTAATAATGATGGAAGTACGAATCCATTTATTCACACCTTTGATGAAATTAATTTAGATTGTTTTGAGGATGGTATCCTTTTCCCGCAAATTGGTAAAAATAACAAACGTAGTTGTGATGGATATCAACGTCGTGACAGTCCAAATGCAATGACCGTTAAAGAGGGTAATGATATTAAAGAAAAAGCGAGTGTTAATAATGTGCCAAGATAGTTTAAATTTAAATGGATAAATTTATTTTACTTTATAATCTATTTATAAAATGATTTTTTTTGTCATTTTTTATAGCACTTTTTAAATTTTAATTTTCTATATAAATTCATTTAATAAATTTTTGCTTGTATCTTACCTTCTTGCAGTTTCTTTTCAATTATATTTAAATTTGCAAAATTTCCATTCTAAACTTCAAATTCTTTTAACGCGTATGTAAAACTCAAAAAGCAAACTAATTAAAATTTTTATTATTCTTAAACATGTATTCAAAAAATAAAAACAATTTTTCATGACCAAAAAAAAACACCGAAAAGCAGAGCAAAAGCAATCAAAAACACAATCCGAATATTATATCGATGACATTCAGGAGAATATAAATAAGACGAACAATGCCACGAACTACCTGCTCGGCTATTCCGGATAAAAATTATTGAACCAATTAAATACAGCTGATTAGGAAAACCATTTTGATATGGATATTTTCAACCGTTTATACAGTATACCAAATTACCAAGTTAAAAAAGAAATAAATAAAGGTAGACGAGCAAGAAAAATACATTAATCACATGCGAATCTTTAATAGATGGGTTAATAGAACAAATAACAAATTTAGGCTATAAAGATTTTGGAGATATTATAGCAATGCAAGTGATTTAATTATTCTTTAATCCACTCAATAAATTTAAAACTAAGAGATGGGTAAAGTAAGCAAGAATTTTAAATCAGTATCCGTTAAAATAGATCCCAGCGTTTCTTATTGTAATACTATGCAAAGAAATACAAAATTTAAAATCAAAATCATAAAATATTTAACAAATAACGATAATGAGTAGTTTGATTTTTTGTTTAAGAGTTTTTCAAAAAGCTCCTTTTTAAATTTTGATTTGAATTTAACCTTTTATGTGGTAAAAAGTACTTATATCACAAGAACAAGACTATAGGAAAAAACAAATTTCTTGTAGCATACTTACAAAAATAATACATGCAAGTATAACCATAGTTATTCGATATTTGTCTTCATTAGGAAATAACCTCTTTGCGTTAATTAAGATATATTCTTCTGGGTCTTCTGCGTGTCGAAGATTATTTATTCGCCCTTTATAGCTTTGCATAAATTACCCATGTAAAATGAATTTTATTACTGAAATAATGAAAATATTTAAATTACTTATGGATTTTCAAAACTAATAAAATTCTACATTAATAAATTTCATTAAAAGTAATTGATGTGACAATTGCGTATAAGAATATTAAAATCAATTTTGTAGCTTTATAAAATCCATGGAAATGTCTCAGCTATATATAACTACCTCAGAAATGTATCCGTTCAAGCTTTTCTTAAATTGCCAAAATCGGACATATTAGAATCTACTTGATTAGATTTTATAGCAAGTCCAAAATATAAGTAAACATTGTCTTCATTATAAACAATGATAATTGCTTAAATTATAAGAAATAGTCCATGACTGATGTTAAAACAATACACTGATGAAGGAATCTAAAGAGTTCTATTTGGTGCAACAACAACTGGTTTCGGTTGTATTAGAGGTTGACCAATTGTTTGATGATTTTAAAGTTTCTCCCATAATACAAATTTTAGATAAATTTTTATGTGAATAATTTTCTTTCAAAAGTGTTTGTAAATGTATATCAATTTTTTTTTTTTTTCAGTTAGAAGCGCACCACTTAGTTGGCTAACAAAAAAGACATCATTTGCTTTTTTAGAAAATAAAAAAATTAAAAAGAACAGAAATTTTTGCCAAAATTTTCTTATTTGATATTTACACACAATTTTAATCATTCACTATTTTTTTTAAAAAAAGAAATTTATTTAATTTGAAGTGTAAGTTAAACCGTAGATATCACTAAACATCATGCCCATTTGTGATAAAAACGTGACGCATTGGTGTAAAAAGAAAGGTCCATCAAAATTATAGTTACAGAAACATAGACCAGATTTTCGAAGTAGTAAGCATAAAAAAATTCCCATTCTTAATATTTTTAGAGCTGGAAGATATTTGTTTAGATTCTTTTAAAATATTCGCATTAATGAATTTAAAAATATCCAAGCGGTTAAATTAGGTTTTGCGATATACGATAAACTTTATACCATAATTTGTATTTATAACTTAAACAATTAAAAATGAAAGAACATAATTTTATCTATATTCTTAGCCAAATTTAAACAGAAGGGTCTTTAACATCAGCTTGTCATTTTTTTTACCTCCTTTGAATTTTGAATATGTAATATGCTCCAATAAGTTTACTAAAAATACTTAAACAGGACGATACAAGTGTCAATAAAGGTATAATATCGTAATGGTTCGCTATTTGAGTATATATAATCTATTGAATTTTTTATTATTTATAAATAATTAAATTAAAATTAATAAATAAAAAGTAAAATTTATGATGTATAAACATACCTGAATAACCAATTGAGGTATATCTTCAAGAATGATGTTAATGAAAGAATATCGAGCTATTCTATGTTCTGTTTCTTTAGAAAAACCAACATTAAACTTATCAAATCCAAACATCATTATCTTTGAATCAAGTACTGTTAAAATTTCAATATCGGTTCCTGCCAAAATCGTGAATATATTTACAATTTTACTATTTTCATTTAACCAAGCTCTAAATTTTTCTGCTTGTTCGCCATTATTTCTTAGTTCTTTGTCAATAATTCTAAATGCCAATATTAAACTTACGAAAAATGAAACTAGCAAAATTACAAGACTAGAAGAAAAAAATTACGACCGTAAATACTTTTTATTTTTATTATAATATTAATATTTAATGCAATTTTAGTGCAGAAATCGGTTACCTTGGAATAAATAAGTCCACGTTTTTGGCTTTTGTAAAAATAAAAACCCAATCAAAAATAATATCGTTAATAGCAATAGCAAATTGAAAAATTGCGGTATTTCTTGCCTAAATAAAATAACAAGTGAATATGTCAATAAACTCATTATCTTTTTTTAAAAAAAAAATAATATTAATGCTATTTACATCTTTTCTTTGACTTTTGGCGACTAAGAAAAGTATGACCAATAGTGATAAGGCTGCTAATGCTCCAATAAGACCTGGTTTAAAATGCGTAGCTATTATAAGTTTATAAGTAAACTAATTAGTATTTATTTGGCGAATTTTATCTTGAAACACACGTCCAAATGATAATTAAGAACAAATTTTTACAAAGCGGTTCATATCCATAAGTCTCATCTAAATGTTTTGAAACTTCACCGGATCCAATAATTGTGGTACGTTTATTCTTAATCAATTGATTTAAATCATTAATTGCCAATTTAACAGTTCTTTGTTTTCTAGATTCATCTTTTTCGATGCCAATAGGTAAAAGGATTTGTCTTTGAGAAGCTGAAGCGTCAGTTTCAAACCTTTCATTGGTAGTTACACGGTCGTGACTGATGGGAATTGCGTCAGCCAATTCTTGACTTAATTTCTTAGAGAAATCATTGCGTTGGCTCTTGTTTAAACTTTCAAAATGTAAGGTCCCATTTGCAGTCAATCGAACTTGTCCACTAACGCTCTCTGAATACTCTTCTACTACCGGAACTATTTGAAATATACATAAAAATATTAATGTAACTCATTTTCACTTAAACTAGAAAAATAAGAACTTACGTGTTGTAAACGTCCAAACATGATCTTTTACACCATAGAGAGGTTCTTGGTAAACTCGGCTCTTTACAAAATTATTTTCAATTGAAACATAGTATCTACTACCAGGTTGATTCAATGTGCAATCCAATAATTTGATATTAACCGTAGTTTTATTTCCATCTACACTGTAGTTTACTAGTTCGTTTATTCCAGGAATTTTTTGACGAATTGTTCCATCTTCTTGAAAAATTTTAATGTGACCAACCGAAAATTCAACTTCGTTATAATATTTAATTGTAAGTGAGTCTGTATCGAGGGCAGTTACAGTATCATTAATAATCGGAGATGTAGAGTCGATGTGGAAATTTTCATAACCATGATCTAGAATATTAATTATTTTGAAGTTTAATTTTTAATTATTTTAATTTAATTATTTTGTTAGCGTTTTATCGCTCACCTTTTTCTTTCTCAAATTTATACAAATCAGTGGTGACCAAAGTCCAGTTTTGTTCTACTCCCTGCTGAGCAAGTACATAAGTATTATTTCTCAAAATTTTCGATATTCCTAAAACGGTTGTCACGGTAGGCATTGGAAGGTCCCAACGATAAATTATGTCGTCATTTGAAATAAAACCTTCAATGATTGTATCATCATTATCATTCATTCCTATTCCACTTAATAAATAACCACCATACGGTAATGCTTCGATATTATATTGATTAATTAATGGATTCATTTGAATATCACTCATTAATGGCATAACATTTATTACGGTTCCAGTTGAAAGAAAATCAATCTTAAGATAAAATGTATTTGTAGTAGTTCGATTTGTAAATTCTCCAGTTACTATACAAGATTGTCCAATTCCTACGTAAGTAACACTGCAATCTATGTCAGTAAAGATTAATTCTGAAAGTGGGGTTTGATAAAGAACGGCTGGATTACGTTTAATTGCATGGGCATGTTCTATGATTATCATATAGACTCCTCCTTGTGAAGTAAAAGGTCTATCAAGTGTGGCTGCAGAATTCGTAGAATTTGCATAAACAATCGCGTATCTGCCGTCCACCATTGGAATGATAGTACTTATAGGATTTACAAGACTATGATTATCTTGTAAATATAAGATATCTTGCGCAAGATAATTTATTTCTCCCGCTTCGGTCCTTTATCAAAAAAAGTAATAATAACAATAAATAAATATAAATTCTTTTTCATAATTAAATTTAAAATTTTAAATTACACTTCGTATTGAATCCAGATTGTCGCTGTAGAATTTGTTTTAGGTGTGATACGTAAAAATCCCTTGTCGGGATCAAAGTTTACAAAAATCCCAGCTCGGTAAGGGTACCATTTATTAGTGCCCGCATTAACATAGCTCGAACCAAATGAAATGTTTCTATACAAAAGAAGAAAGCAAATTAATAGTGTTGTTTGCATTACTCTAAATTTTAATATAATACGATTTTTAAAACCTGTAAATATTTCCATTTAAATCAACAATCATTGCCCAATCAGTATAGCTATAAGGATCCGATACGTTCGTGGCACTCGCATAAGTTACTAACAAAAAATTACTTCTTATAGGATAAATTTCAATGGGGTTTGAAATTCCGTCTACTTCGTTGTTCAAAATAAGAAAATTGAAGTCTTGTATATCTAATTTAATATCTACCGGTACAACACTCCCATTTGGATAAATCGTGCGAAATGACAAATATTTATCTACCAAAAATCCATCTTCAGTTAGAGGTAATAATGGACGAATTATATGAACAACTATCGTGTTATCAAAATTAACTATATCAAATATGACAGGTGTACTGTCGCTGGCGTTCACAGTTGGTATATCTACATATGTAAAATTATTTTGATTTTGTGATTTAGCCAATAAAATGATTGATAAAATTGAACATACGAAAATAAAATTATAAAATTTCATCTTGAAATAATTTCGAAATTTGAAAATTATTTGAATCAAATCAAATTAATATTCATGAATAATAAAAAAAAAATTTAAAAAACAATAAACGAAGGATTTAAATCATTTTTGTTCAATGGGAATCCTGCTCATCGTTAACATTTATAGTAATAACTTCAAAGATCCATATTTTTGAAGCCTCGCCATGCCATGACTTAAAATAAATTTTATGCCAGCCTGGCCCGGCCCGGACCTGAAATAATTAAATTTGTTCAATAAATCGAAGCTTAATTTAATAATTCAATATTTTGAATTCAAATAGTTGCGTATCAAGATTTTTTCCGAATATGCAAAATCGCAAGTTCAGAAAAGATAACAAGGTTTGTAAAAGGCATTTTCAGTGGTCTTCGTGCATTACAACAACCTACATCTAAGATCCGGTTCGATACCTGCATTCATATAGAATTTCACTGGCAAAGGTTTAACCAAATTAAGTATTCCAGAAGTATTAAGCCCTGTACATTTTTGACGCGCCGTTTCTGTTAATGTATATGGGCGCGGTTTTCAAATGTTTTATCTGGATAAAGACCGGATATAGTTAAGGAATCCGAATGGCGGCATCAAAGCACTAAAGTTGGGATATAGCAGATTTGGGTCAAAAAGTCGTGTTAATTTTGTATAATCGGTCAAAGACCAATTTGGAAACTTCAATTAACAATAAATATTATTGTGCAATGTGCTACTAAAATAACGCCGATCAACCATAGTATCACTTTATTTGCTCTTAATTTTAATAATAAATAAACAAAATAAATAATTAGGTTTGCAAATGCGGAAATAACTAGCAACCAATAATCCCGAATTTTTTTTTTTAGATTCAGTCCTTTTTAAAAAGAATATAATCTATCCGTAGTTTTTCATGATACCACATAATGGAAGGATGAAAATCTCATCGAGTGGAGAAGATCTTGTTACTTACAGTGAAGAAGTTGTGAGTGGAATGTTGAAATTATTGAAATATAATTATATTAATTGATTGGTATTATCCATGTGTGTGATAAAATAAATCTAGCGTATATTGATAAGTATAATTTAATATTTAATGATTATTTTGTACAACCCTTCCGTTGTGTAACGGGCTGATTCCCGTGCGGTGCAGAGGCTGTACCTTTTTTTTCCACAGTATTATTATTACTTGAGAATCTATTAGGTATGAGCATCACTACCGATTTTTTATTATCAAAAAAAATAATTGTTTCGTTATATACTTGTTTGCTGGGCGGAAGCCACAAAAAGAATAAGTCTTGAAATATATACTTTCTTAATTTAATATTGATCAAAAAGTTATTTAAAAAGTACTTCCAAAACGTTCTTCTTCAAAATTCGATTCAAAAGAACTAATAATAAAAATATGGCAAATTTGCAATTTACAATTTTTGTTGTTCTCTTCATCTTCATTGCAGCAATATCCATTAAAGCTGAAACAGTAGAGCTTGAAAAACGAACCGACTCGAGTCCAAATAATTCTAAAAGAAATGAATTGAGTAAAAGAAATGAAGACAAAGTATGCAAATGTACGATCGCCGAAGCGATTTTCGATTCTTCATTTAAGGGTTTATTCTTCTTTTCACAAGACGAATGTGGCAGCACGACTATTGCAGGAATGTTCAGCCGTGGATTTGAGACTTTGGATTCTACTGACGATATTAGTTTTGAAATAGTTGATAATAGCAATCGCACACTCCATGATCTCACGGATGGATTGAATGTTCAATTTTGTGATGATGGTAGTACCAAGCCTTTTACACACACATTTCCCGAAATCAATTTGGATTGTAATAAGGATGGTATCTTTGTCCCGGAAGTTGGTAAATATAGCAAACGTGCCGCCGATCAACCACCTGCGGTAGAAGTTAAAAAGGGTAAAAACAGAAATCAAAATGTGTCTAAAGCGCAAATTAAGAAATTTTTTCCAAAAAAATAAAAAAGTAAAAAGGATAAATTTTTTAATTTCAAATCTATTTATAAATGATTTCCTGTTATTTTAATAGTTAAATTTATTAGTTAATTTTTTCTTTTTTCTTTTTTTTTTTTTGTATTTGACACCTTAAAATTTCTTTTATTTTAGTAGTTTTTGAATCAATAAATCGAATAATATCATAAATAAGTTCATGAAATGAATGAAAAAAAAGCGATGAATTTGTTTTAGGTCAAAAAAAAAAAGTAATAAATTATAATTAGAATAATAAACTTATCTTTAAAAAAGTTTACCCAAAATAATCTCAGTGACCTCTCCTATACAATAATAATCGCAAAAAAAATACATCCTTCACGTTCTGTTTATTGGGTCACAGTTTTTTTTTTAAAAAATAAATTTGAATATTTTAATTCCTTTCTCTAAAATTAATTGCTTACTCATCATCATTTAAAAGGGATTAAATTCAATCATAACTTAAAAAATCTTAAGCGAATTATTGCATTTTTTTTTAAAAAAATCAAAGTTTAGTTGTTATATGGAATTTTTTCAAAAAACGTATAAAATTTTTCATGCACAAATAAGCATAATGGACATTTAACTTATCTGCGATTTTATCATAATTATTAATTTTGATTGGTACAAAATTGATTACCAATGATTAGTTTTTTGACTAATAAAAAATATTTTTCGGTTAATTTTTTTTATAAATTCTTGAATTAAATCAAAAAATATCAAAAAATATCAAATATATATATATTTTTTTATAATAATCATAATAATTAGAAAAAGTAGAAAATTAAAAAGGAACTTGCAACATTAAATTAAAAGTAAAATTATAAATGCACATTTATTAGATATCATATATTTAAACCACTATTTAATAATATTTGTGATTAATGTATCAAATATTTAAATGTTTAAAATGTTTAGAATAAGAATGTATAATGTTTATGTGATCATGCTTTTCATAAAATTATTTCAAATCAAAATAATAATTGTAAAGAATTCTATAAAAAAGGTGTTGTCTTTATGTAAAATCCTATAAAAAGGTTATATAAAGATAATAATATTAATAATAGTTTATTAGATGATGAAATATTAGATAATGAAAATAAAGAAGCAACAATAGTAGAAAAAATATTGGTAGACTTTAAAAATATTTTAAACTTGGTAAATTATAAGTTAATATATATAATTTTAACCTTAAAATTTCGGCTCTCATCTAACTTTCTTAAGATCAGAGATCTCCGGATCTTTTTTTTACCCAAATTTAAAGAAAGGAACGAACGATAAGTAAAAAAACTGCGCATCGATAGATTAGTTGTTTATTCTTTAAATCAATTGATAACGAACGTTACACAATATAAAAAAGATCGACATTTTTATTTTATCCATTATGCTGCACAAATAGTGTTAAAAAAAGTTATCACTTTTTTATACAGACGAAAACTAAAAATATCACGTTCGTTTTCGTAACTTAAGTGAATCATATATAAATGATCTTTTAACCAGAAATAAGTTTGCTTCGATTAAATAATTAAAGTTTTCAGAATCCCATTCGGTTAAAAATTTGAAACATTTATTTAATTGAAAATTTCGCAAGCAATTAAAAAAAAAAAATTGAAGTGGATAACCAAAAATGTAAAGTTGGTCACATTATGATGAATATTTTCAAGTTTACTAAATCCTTCCAAGGTAAAAAAGAAAAAAATAAAGGTTATAGGAGCAACTAAGCGCAAATTTTTAGTATTTTATTTATAATAAATCAGGAAAGCGCGGAGATGCAATATTAAAACAATCGATTAATTGCAACATTTTCGATTTTCTGAAGACAGTTCCGTGCTAATAAATGAACTTTATCGAAGTATAAAAATGCTGCAACAAAACGCATTTACGCAATGTATTTGACAATGGATTATTATTTTTCATCCTCGAACAATTCACTAGGAATATCTATTATTTTCATGAGATTTATTATCTTTAAATCTATAAACAATCATAGCGATAGACGATGTGTTAACATATACGACAACAACAACGGGACACGAACGAGATAATGATTATAAAGTTACAAAAAAATTTTAATTTTTAAATGACTGACCTCTTGGAAAATTTACGAAACTTTGAATTATTTGATTATTCTAGTCTTCGATTATTCACAATCAAATAATAAATCTTTGAATTAAAAAAAAAAAGGTCATTTAAAATAAAGGTTTTTAAAGAATATTTTTTCAAAATGTCGCTTGTCAGAAAAAGGGAAATCTAAACTTTTAATCAAAAAAATTTTTTTTTATTAAGATTTATTCTTATATCTCAATTTTAATCATTCATTTGGGTGCGATTTTAATTCTGACCGGAATTAGATAATATTAAAACTTCACACTATGGGTATCATTTGTTTTTTTTTTTGATTTTTATTGATGTATAAACATAAATTGCAAAAATAAACTTTATAATTATTATATCTGTTAAAACGGTATTATTATAACTGGTTCCTTCGGTCTAGCCGAACTGTGAGTGTGATATCAGCATGGTTTTGTTCACAAGAGGTAAATAATAATTTCAGTCATATTATCAAAAAAGAAATTCAAGGGTTAAAATAGAGTTCTGTGACGTTTCACAATAGAATTTATTTATAAATTTTTTATATTTTATTTTTTATTTTTATTCAACATTTTCTAAACTGACATATTTGATTGATTTCTTTCTAAACTAAGTAAATAACAAGACGTGTAAAATTTGCTTTGAAAGTCACGGTAAGAATTATCATAGATTGGAAGTTAATCACTATGACGACTCACCATAATCACGATTTGATAGCATTAATAAATCAAAACCACGTATGAAAAACCAAACGTCTTAATAAAGAAATTACAAATTAAACTTAGTTGATATCTTCGGATCATTTTCATAGCCTACAAGCGCGCGATATAATCTTGGCTTTGCCAACTTCAAAACTAATGTACATATAAATGTGATTTTTTTTTTTGAAAATTTTGATTTAATATCACATTACTAGGAGAGTAGAATAAAAAAAAAAAATAGTAACGATCGACTTTGTATAAATATTATTCGTTCGTTCTAAAGCATCATCCTAACCATGCATACAATGTTTAATAAAAACTGATACTCAATAAAAAATTAATGATAAAGTTGCAAATCATGAAAGGTTTCCCACCACTTAAATCATCAGTAAATTTTATTAGAATATAAATACATAAAAGAATATAATAAAGAAATGTTTATCTAAATTTTAAGTCTAAAAAGAAGGATCTTTAGCATAAGCATGTGCAGAATTCTCATCACCATTTTCGTCAACTATTATTTTTTTTATGCAGAAAATGTAATACTTTTCCAATAATATTATTAAATAAAATTAAGCAGGAAAATACAAGCTTTAATAAAGGTATAGTATCGTAATATATCGCTCTTTTTAAATATATAACCTGTTGAAATTTTATTTAAAAATAGTTAGATTAAAAAAGTAAATAAAATAAATAAAAAAAAAAAAGGTAAAGTTAAATGCAAAAATACCTGAATAACTAATTGAGGAATATTTTCAAGAATAATGTTAATGCATGAATACTTAACAATTCTTTGTACTGTTTTTTTAGAAAAATTAGCATTAAACTCAACAAATCCTCCAAACTTTACTTTAGAATCAAGTAAAGTTAAAATGTCAAGATCGGTTCCTGCCAAAATAGTGAATACATTCACAAATATATTATTTTTATTAAACCAAACTTTGAAGTTATCTGCTTGTACTGAGGAATTTTCTTCTTGAACTGATTCATTTTTGGCCTTTTCTGCTTGTTCAATATCTCTTAGTTCTTTGTCAATAATTCTTAATGCCAATACCAAACTTACGTTAAATGAACCTATCAAAATTACAAGACTGAAAGAAAATTATCATTATCGTAAATATTTTTATTTCTATTATAATATTTACTTTAATATAAATTAGTGCAAAAATCGTTTACCTTGGAATAAATAATCCAACGTTTTTCGCTTTCGTAATAATAAAAACCCAATCCAACCCAATATCAGAAATAGCAACACAAAATTTAAATAAAAAAATTGTGGTATCTTTTACCTATATAATAATAAAAGGTGAGTAAAAAAAAAAAATATTGAATTTTAAAATTAAACAAATGTTATTTACACCAGGCAATTTATCTTTGGCGAAAAAGAACACTCCAGAAATCATTAATCCTACTGCAAATGCTCCAAGGAGACCATGAGTGAACAACGGATCAGCTAATTATAAGTAATATATTAAGCTTTTATTTGAAAAAATTCTCACTTGAAACACACGATCATATGATTGATAATGAAATGCTTACGAAGTCGATGGTATCCATAACTATCATCTAAATATTTTGAAGCTTCACCGGATGCAATAACAGTGATAAACTTATTCTTAATCAAATTATCTAAATCACGAATAGCAAATTTTACAGTTCTTTCTTTTCTAGTTTCATCTTGATTGATGTTAATAGATAAAAAGATTTGTTTTTGAGGAGCCAAAGCGTCAGTTTCAATCCTTTCATTGGTAGTTACACGTTTATGACTGACGGGAATTGCATCAGCCAATTCTTCAGTTAATTTCGTAGTGAAAATTTTGCGTTCTCTCTCGTTAAGACTTTCGAAATATACTGTCCCATTTGCAGTCAATCGAACTTGTCCATTTACGCTCTCCGAAAATTCTTCTTCTATTTGAGCTATTTGAAAATGATTAAAAAGTATACATAAAAATATTAAAAAGTAACTCATTTTCATATATCGTTAAACTGGAAAATTTATAAGAACTTACGTGTTGTAAACGTCCAAACATGATCTTTTACACCATAGAGAGGTTCTTGGTAAACTCGGCTCTTTACAAAATTATTTTCAATCGAAACATAGTATCTACTACCAGGTTGATTTAATGTGCAATTCAATAATTTGATATTAACCGTGGTTAAATTTCCATCTACATTTTGAGTTACAAATGTGTCGTTGGTTCCAGGAATGATTTGACGTAAATTACCATTTTCATGAAAAATTTTAATGAGACCAACTGACAAATCAACTTCATTATAATATATAATTTTAAGGGACTCTATATCGAGGGCAATTTTTTCATCAAGGACAGGAGATGTAGTGTCGATGTGGAAATTATCATACCCATGATCTATATAAATTAATTGAAAAGTTAATTTTTTATTTTTATTTAATTTTTTTTTTATCGTCTATCATTCATTTACCTCGTTCTAACTCAAACTTCTTCAATTCAGTGGTGACCAAAGACCAATTTGGTTTCTCTCCCAGCTGAGCAAGTACATATGTATTATTCCTTAAAACTTTTGATGCTCCTATAAAGTTTGTCACGGTATTAATTGGAAGGTTCCAAGGAAAAGATTCACCATTGTCACCTAAAAGATAACCGGCAACTATATTTTGACCATCAGATGTTCCTAATCCACTTAATAAATAACCGCCATACGGTAACGACGCAATATTGTATTGATCAATTAACGGATTCGTTTGGATATCATTCATTAATGGCAAAACGTTTATTACGGTTCCAGATGAAAGAAAATCAATTTTAAGATATAATTTTTTTTCTGCTCTAATTGTAGATTCGCTTGTTACAATACAAGTCTGTCCAATTCCTACGTAAGAAACACTGCAATCAATGTTAATAAATTTAATTCCTTGAATTTGAGTTTGATAAAGCACAGCTGGTTCTCTTTTAATTGCAAGGCTATAATCTAATATTATGATGTAGACTCCCCCTCTTGAAGTCAAAGGACTGTCTATTGTGTCCACATCCGTAGAATTGGCAAAAACAATCGCATATTTACTGTCCACCATTGGAATGACATTACTTAAAAGGCTAAGATTATTTTTGAAAGGTATGTTATCTTGCGCAAGTAGATTTATTTCTCCCGCTTCGGTCCTTTTAAAAAATTAATAAATAAAAAAATAAATAAATGTAAATGGCTTTTCATAATTAAATTTAGCATTTATATATGATAAATTACACTATGTATTGCTGCCAGATTGTATTCGTAGAACCTGTTACAGGTGTGTAACGGATAAATCCTTTGTCGGGATCAAAGTTTGCAAAAATCTTAGCTCGGTCAGGGTACCATTGATTCGTAGCAACATCAACAAAGCTCGGACCAAATGAAATTTTACTATAAATAAGAAGAAAGCAAAGTTAATAAAATTGTTTACAATCATAGGAATGTTTGATTTTATTATTAAATATAAGAATGATTTTACATACCTGTAAATATTTCCATTTAAGTCAACAACCATTGCCCAATCAGTATAACTTAATGGATCAGTTAAATTCGTGGTTTCCGCATAAGTCACTATCAGAAAATTACTTCTTATAGGATAAATTCTAATGGGGCTCGCCTGACTTCCGTTAATGTCCAAGATACAATAGTTAAAGTCTTGTATATCCAATTTAATATCAACAGGTACAACGCTCCCATTGGGATAAATCGTGCGAAGTGACAAGTATTTATCAACCCAAAGTATACCTTTTTCAATAGGGTATGATAAATCTGGACGAATTATATGAACAACTATCGTGTTATCATCATAACTAACTAATTTAAATATCGTTGGTGTGCTGTCGCTGGCGTTCACAGATGGTATGTCTTCATAAGTGAAAATATTTTGTGATTTTATTGGTAATATAGCAAAAGAAATGATTGTTAATGTTGCAAAAACTAAAATAAAATTATAAAACTTCATCTTGGAAGATTTTCGAAACTTGAAAATTATCTTAATCTTCAATTATCCAATCAAATTAATAATTCATGAAAAAAAAAAAAAAAAAAAAAAATTAAATTTTAAAACTAACAAAGAATTTAAATAATTTTTCGTTCAAATGGAGCCTCTCAAAAAGGTATCTAATGAATGCTTCATTTATTTTTTATCAAACAAGTCATTTATCGCTATACAAAAATATTACAAAATTAACGGATTTGGTGTTATAATTATTAGCCTATCACAAAATGGATTTTGATCAGCCGATCATTTAATTTAATTTTCCAAATTGAGACCCTTTCAAAGATGTAGATGTAGTGTTCAGTTCAGTTTTAAAATTCTTCATACCAAAATTTGGAATTTATTCAAACTCCAAATTGAGATTATTTCAAAGGTGTTATTGAGATTTTTGATGTTGTGTCCAGTTTCATAATTTATCATTCATACAATGTTGAACAACGGATATTATCAATATTCCAAATTGAGTTTTTCATTTCAAAGGTGTTATTGATAACTAGATTTTTTCCTTCGCATAATTTATTATGCTTACAATTTTGAAAATTTTTTTTAAACTAGCTTACACAAGATAGATTTTGGACATTCCAAAATTCGGATATTATCCAATATTCCAAATTGAGTAAATCATTTAATAATGTATAGATTTTTGAATTTGTGGAAAACAATACATGAAATTGTGTAATTTTCAAAAAACAAATAATTAAATTTGTATATATTAACTGCGAATAATATTAATTTTTATAGCCGAAAGCTTTGAAATACAATAAGCACAATCTTAGGAAGAACAAAGTCGTTTATTGCATATCTTTCATTCTATCTCCAAAAATATCAAACAAAATTATTGTAACAAAAAGTAAAAATTCCTGCAAAAGATACTTTCTTTTACACAAAATAAAAAAAAAATGCTATTTAAACAGCACTTCCCAAACGTTTTTTTTTCATCGAAATACAATCGAAAAAACACTTCAAAAGTTATTTCTCATCAAAATCCAATCGAAAACATTTTATAAAATTCACAAAAAAAAATTTAAAAATATGGCAAAATTGCAATTAAAACTTTTTGTTGTTCTCTTCATCTTCGTTGCCGTTACGACAGCAATATCCATTAGAACTGAAACAGTAAACCTTGAAAAACGAACCGTCACGTGTCCTTACAATTCTAAAAGGAATATTTTGAGTAAAAGAAACGAAGATAAAGTGTGCAAGTGTACAATCGCCGAATCGACTTTCAGTTCTTCATTTAGTGGTTTCTCCTTCTACTCTCAAGACGAGTGTGGTAGGACTACCATCGCAGGAATGTTTAGCCGTGGGTTTGAGATTTTCAATTCTACCGACGATATTAGATTTGAAATAGTTGATAGTTGCAATCGCACACTCCATGATCTCACGGATGGATTGAATGTTCAATTTAATAATGATGGAAGTACGAATCCATTTATTCACACCTTTGATGAAATTAATTTAGATTGTTTTGAGGATGGTATCCTTTTCCCGCAAATTGGTAAAAATAGCAAACGTAGTTGTGATGGAAATCAACGTCGTGACAGTCCAAATGCAATGACCGTTAAAGAGGGTGATGACATTAAAGAAAAAGCGAGTGTTAATAATGTGCCAAGATAGTTTAAATTTAAAATGGATAAATTTTTTATTTTATATCTATTTTTTTTTTATTGTATGTGAGAAGTTTTTTAAATTATAATTTTTAGATAAGTTCTTTTAATGAAAATTTTTTTTCTTGTATCTGTACGCGCTTAAGGTTCTTTTATTTTGTTTTTAAAATCAATAAATCGAATAAATATATTTGAACTTCAAATTCTTTAACAGAATTTTTTAACGAACGCGGTCATACCTGATGTTTTTTATGTAAAGCGCTGATTGGTTAAAAAAAAATTAAATTTTTATTTATACTTCCGAGATGTACTCACAAATTTTCTTGAACAACAAATAGATTAACCTGTACTATAATAGGATATAAAATTCGTATCTTTCTGTCCTTCCTTGTTTTTTAATAAATATATCAAGTTCAGTTGTTATATGACAACGTTTAAATTTATGATAAGTTCAATGTCTGGACAAGAATTATTTAACCTATTTCTACAAATAAATACTATAAAATTACGGTTTGTGATTTGATTTATGTAAATAAATATAACGGAATAAAGCTGATTCAGAAAATATTAAACGATTGTGACAGATATTTTTAACCGTTTATATTCTAAATTACCTCCTTTCAAGTTTAAAGAAGAAATAAATAAAGGAGAATATACATCAAAAACATGCGAGTTCTAATAGAAGGAATTAAAAAAAGTTATATTATACTAAAAATGCGTCAGTGATACCATATTAAACATAAACATTTCGATTTTTCTGAATACAATATAAAAAGCAAAGCATGGGTTTTCCATAATTAATATTTTAATTACTTTGTAGAAGACGCCAAACCGTAACTGGTAAGCCATAAATTCATTTGCGCAACGTATTGTTATTGGTTACACAAGAATAATTTTTACGATGGATCTTTGTGTCAAATAATTATTTTCATGAATTGTTTATTTATGATTTCTCCTACAAATCGATCTTAATAAATAATAATCTTTGAATTTGAAGTTAGAAAAAGATAAGGCCGGGCAAAAAAAATTTTTAGATTCTGGTGACATAAAATTTTAAAATTGACACGGTCACCCGGTTTTTTTTTTTTTTATATAAATTTTTTTTATATGTATTTTATATTATGTTTTGTATTACGCAAATAGTAAGGTAAATGAAGGATATTACT